TCTTTCACATCACATGAGCTAAGGCAGTGGCAAAAGGCTTTCCAGAACTAAATAAAATACATAACAGAGTATTATTAATGGCTCAGATCTTTTCTGTGAAAAGCTGTGTTGTGGGTAGTTTACTAAATTACATGAATATGAACACATTTGTATAATCCTGTATTTAAGGAAATTTGATCTTTAACCTAAAATATCTATTTTGGATGTATTTCTGTAAGATGCAGAAAAGAATATATATTCTGAATCTTTGGGTGTCATATTCTCTAGCTAGCTGTTAACTCTTGATCTACAATTTTATTTTACTCTGATGTTTCTCTGTTTATATTTTTATAGATGACACATTTGTTGGTGAGAATAAGGCATTAAAATCATGCAGTGTTACTAATGTGTCAATTATGCTTATCTTAAATTGTCTGATAATGGCAATATCTATGTACTCTTATAAACTGATTATATTGTTTTATAAAACTGGGTATGTTGAACATTCGTGTGTTCATCTTTATCATCATTATATAGTCTTGCTAGATTTGTTCCATTACCCATATAAATTATGTGACCTTCTTTACCACATCTCACTAATTTTGTTTTAACATCGATTTTGTTAGATATGAGTGAGTGTAGATTCTCCTGATTTCTTTCTGATTCTGTTGACTGGGGATAACATTTCTATATTTTTACTTAGAATGTGTTTTTCTTAGCCAATTAGGTGCACATCTAGGAAGCAGCAACCAAGTCATTTTGTTGTGTTGTGTTTGGGGGTGGGTATTAGATACACTAGTTCAGGTCTTTTAATTGCACACTTGATGCCATTAACATCAGAGTAATACCTTCCATTTGCTAGTGGTTTTGTGATATTTGACCCTTTCTGTTAGGAGTAGTTTTTTTTCCTGCCTACCTGAGCCCACTGCCGTGCCAGCTACAAACAACACACAGAGACTCTGTATTTGATATAATGCTGTTGGCCAGGTACTAATTTCTTATCGGCTAGCTCTATCTTAATGATTAACCCATTTCTATTAATCTACGTATTTCCACTTATCTTATCAGAGAGAGGGCCCAGCGTTCTGCTCTCTCCAGTCTCTCCATGTTGACTCCTCCCTACTACTTCCTCTCTCCTCCTTGTCTCCTACTCCTGCCTATCTTGCTTTCCTATTGGTCAACGGTGCTTTATTCATTAATCAATAAGAGAAACATATTTAAAAATGACATCTCCCATCACCTTTCTATCTTTGTTGACTTATCTACTCTTCTAATGAGATTCAGTCTTTTCCATCTTCTCATGGTTGTGAAGACTTTGAAAACCACAAATAAGGAAAGGGAGAAGAGCCATGTTGTATTATGTTAACACACTAAACACACAGGAAGAGTAAAGACTATGGGAAGCTTCGAGGCACCGTGTTACATATAAACCCATGTGTCTAGGGTTCTTGTACCCTCTTGTATCTCTTTCCTAAGATTTGGGGAACTCTTTTCTATTACTTTACTTGTATCTACTATCCTCCTTCTTCTCTTTTTCTGAATCATAAATTTGGCCTTTTAATGGTAGCTCAGAAGTCTTACAGTATCTGTTTTAATTTCTTAATTTTCTTTATTACCATCTGAATATTCATATTTGCCGATCTTCAAACTCTGATACCCTCCAGTTGACCCACTTTACTGGTGAAGATTCAAATGAGTTTTTATTTGATTTATTAATCTTTTCAATTTTGAAACTTCCGTTTGTCCATTTTTGTTTTCTAGTTCTTTGTTAAGCTCTTTCACATGCATGATTGCCCTCCTTCTCTTAGCAGTTTACTCATGGTCTGTTAATTCGGGAGTTAATGTAGATCTTCTTTGAATTTGTTAGTGGCTCTTTTCCATTTAGGCTATAATTTTGCCCACTTTGCTATCATTAAAATCAGTTATTATGGTTTGGTTTGTGGGCAGAGGCAGCTACAGTTACTCTAAGGTCTCCAGTTTCTCAGAACAAGATAGATTGAACTACATGCATTTGGTTTATGGTTCCTAGTTTCCTTCACATCTATCTGCTCCTCAGGCAGGGAAACCACATATGGATGCAGTAACCAGTGCCTACAGAACATTATCATACTCTATCCTTTGGGTCTCTTTTTGATAACTCAACTCCCATAGATAATCACTTGCTGTCACTCATTCTCCTTTGTGGAACTTTGGTAGTTAACATCAGTGATCCATGGCACCCAATGAGAAACAGTCTGCCCTGTGACCCCTACTGACTTTCCACTGAAAGGAACCCCCTGTGGTTCTGACTCGGTCTCTTTCCTATAATTAGACTGGCTCTCCAAGCAAACACAAGGTGGATCAGCGCCTGGCCCTTCCTGGACAATTCCATAAACTGGACAATGCAGGAACACTTGACGCCTGAAGCAGCAGACTCAAATGGGAGACTCTCAAATGGGTTCCACCAGCATCGTGACCAAATGATGAAAACAAGACAGAATTCTCCCAGTACAAATAACCTGTACAGTCTCCAGGACCAGGAAACCTGCCTGGTTGGACTGCAGATGTTTTCTGAGCAGCTCATTTGCTTTCCATTGTCTCAGTGTCTGCCTTCTGCCATCCTGCTTTTCCAAGTTTCACATGGTGATAGCCTCTCTCTCTCTCTATCTCTCTCTCTCTCTCTCTCTCTCTTTCACACACACACACACACACACACACACACACACACACACACATTTTCCATTTTACAGGGCTCTGCCTATTCACAACTATACCTATGCTTTGTGTTTTCCAAAGCTTTGGCTGTCTCTATCCTCAGTCCCTGCTCTCTGGAGCATCTCTACAGCCCCTGAAGTATCCCACCCACAGAATTGGTCTTCGTTTCCATTTATTCTACTCTATATATTTTCTCTTTTAACATTCTCTTTCGTTGCTACTGCAACACCAATATCTTCCTACTATCAGCCATCTCAAAGAGTAATTGGTAACTGCTCTTCAGCCCTCCCACTCTATGCCCCAGAGATGCAAGCAATCACTGGGGTTACTAGTGGGAGATTATCTCCCTCCCACTCCCTTCATGCTTTTCTGGGCTTGAGCATATCTTTGCTTGTCTGTCTGCTTAAGAAAACACATGATATGATCATCAGAATAATCATCCCTTTAAATAAAAGAAGTCGTAATCACTCACTTCTTCTCCTGGAGTTATTCAAAATGTACTTATTTTGCTTCCCACTCTAGAAAGCTCCTCATGTTTGGTGCTTCACCAAAACTTCAAATCGTACAACCCGCCAAAATAGAATTGCAGTCATGAAGACTGTAGCCCATAGTGCTCCCAAAGGTAAAACTGAAAATGAGAAAAGCTGAAGAGCATTACCCAGGCTTTGGGGAAATCAACACCTAATGCCCACAGACCAACAGCATGGCTGACTCTGAGCAGTTGGCCTGCCTCTGCATCTCTGTAAGATACTCTGACACATCTCCCTGATAAGATACCCTCAAGGCTGGAAAGATGGATCAGGGATTACAAATGTTTGCTCTTCTTCCGGAGAACCAGAGTTCAGTTCCCAGCACCCACATAGGACCACTTATAGTTGCCTCTAATTCCAGCTTCAAGGGATCCAGCACCCTCTCCTGACCTCCATGGGCACCTGCACACACCTGACACTCCCTCACACACACATATATATGCAAAAAAAGTTGTCAACATTCTACAAAGAAAAATGAAGATACCCTCCAAAATAGAATATCTTTACCTTGGGTTTGTAGGGTGACATAACAGACAAGAACTTGAAGAACATTCAAGAAGGAATTAATTATGTCTAGTTCAAACCAATTCTGAGAAAACATTTGGGGAAGAGAAAACATTCTACACCTACAAATTAGAGGAGAGATGGCATAAAGTAGAAAGCTTAAGGCAGATAAAGCAGTCGGTCCAGTCCCCTCTGTCATTCAGGTTGGCCCTGTCATACCTTGGTAAGGACATCTTCTCTTTTGCTTGCTTACCACAGTGTGCTTTCTCTGTGTTCATATTTCTCACTTAATACTCAATGAGAGTGCAAGAACAGAGGAAACTTGCCACAGCACTTTCTGTAAGACTGAGTCCATCCACCCCACCTCCTTGCCCTCTCTAATTTACTTGTGTTTGTCACTGTCTCCCCTGTAGGTATGGCTATGAAAAACACATTGACACCCACTTTTAAATGGTGGAAACCTGGAAGAGAAGATCTTATAACCAGCTGGTTGAATTATTAAAAATATGATTATGAATGGGAATAAAATAAAGACAATATTGCACATTTCATACATGTGCATAAATCAAAAATGCATTTGAGCTGAAGGCATAGTAGCTAAGTGGTAGGGCTTTTGTATAGAATGATGAAAGGCCCTGGGTTTGAGTCTCAGCACAACAAATAACAACAATAATGTTACTACACATGAAAATGCATTCATTCCAAACAGTATACATGCCCAAACATCTATAAATATATTAAAAAAGTTATCTGTGGTGATTAGCCTGTGCCAGTGGTCCTATGTCTGCTAACTGCCTTCCATGTCCCAGAGGTACCATAACTTTCTATGGTAGTACCACCAGCTGGGGGTCAAGTGTTCAAACGTGTGGACATCTGAAGAACATTTTATATCCAACCCAGTTTTGGATATAAACAGTTTATATTCAAACTAGCTCTGTTACTGCCCTTCTACAGAGCAATTCATTCTGGTAAACCTGGGGTGGAATAAAGGCTTACAAAATGAGCTCAGGAAAACATTTGTCTTCTTTCTTTTCAATTCCCTCCTTCCATCCTCTTTTCCCTTCACTTCACTTCCAGTTTCCTTTGCCACCCTTCCTTTCTCTGCTTCTCTCCTTCAATTTTTTCACTATTTAAGGCACTGTTCCTAACAAATCAGGCTCTGGGATTTTACCTACATCTACTTATAGTCGCCAGTCCACAATCCCCTTTCCAAAGCCTCCCCCTCTTCTAATATCAAAGTCCATCTGGTCAGAGAGCAGTTGGAGACCATCCGCCCACTGACCTGCTTCCATTGGATTTTGGAGTTTGCCTCCTGCCTGGAAAGAGATGGCTCTAGCCTGGAGAAAGCTGCGGAAAGCCTTCTACCTGGAGACCTCTCTCAGAATCCTCCATCTATGTCCACCCTCAAGCTGTGAGTAGAAAACAGGGATGTAGGTCAGCAAAGGGTCAACAGAGGGGGAAAGCCAGAACTCTGGAGCCTATTGCCTACGACTGAGACAATTAGAGCTGGGTAAGGACGTGGGATTTTAGAGATGAACTTGTAACAGCCAATGGTGGTGAGCCTTTCAGGACCAGTGCTTCCATTTCAGCCAGTATTTCATAATTACCATCATTTGTCCTGAAATGCAATCAATGAATAATAAAACCTGGTAATACACAACCCAGAGTTTAAAACCAGCTATCTCTACTTTGACACAAAAAGAAAGCAAAGGAAAGTAAGTCGAAATAAAGTATTAAATTCTGTAGATAGGTTTCTGGGATTATTTTAAAAGATATAAGTGTTCTCATATATATTCTCAGCACTTGTAAGAGATTCACAAACACACACGAGAGTGAGGGGGTGAGGGGGGGCAGAGACAAAAAGACAGAAAGGCAAAAAGAGAGACAGAGACCGGGAGGAGGAGGGAAGGCGATGGAGAGAGAGGCATACACACTTGAGTTATTTCTCCACATTCATCCAAACCAGAATTAAACTAACCAGATCATTCCCTTCTGATCATACTCCCCTGTCTCTACAGTAGGAACAAGAAACTTGAGGCAATCTGAGGTGGCCAGATATAGGAATCATCATAATTTATTTCCGTATGCCAATAATCGTCATATGGATTTGTTCCTCCAATCTCACTATATACTCATTGATTTCCTTTCCATCACATAAGCTTAAACAGTCATCTGTTTACATATTTACATGCCATAGTGGAAACTTACAACCATGAACTATAAATGGTATATTGAGCCCTTTTCTATCATACATTATGATCAATTTTGTCTTTTCCATAGCTTTCCATTTTCTCTCCTTTTCTGTCCTGTCCTCTCTCTCTCCTCGTCTTTGTAAAGTAATGCATGCCCAATGCTTTCGTGTGTGTGTGTGTGTGTGTGTGTGTGTGTGTGTAGGTGCATATTTGTTTATGGGTATGTTTGCACATCTGTGTGCATATATGTGGAGGCTAGAAGACAATCTTGGATGTTGTTCTTCAGATGACATCCAACTTGAGGTTTTTTTGTTGTTGCTTGGTTTTTTGTTTCTGTTTTGTTTATTGTTGGCCATTTTGTTTGTTTTTTGAGGCAAAGCTTCTTATTGGTTGGGAGCTCACTGAGTAGGCTGAGGCTGCCTAGACAACAAACCTTGTGGATCCATCTGTCTATGTTTCCCCAGCAATGAAACATATATTTCATAACACCCATTGTTTCTTAGGTTCTGAAGCTCAAACTCTAATCCTTATGCTTGCATGGTAAGAAATTCAGTAACTATGCTATTTTCCCAATCCAGGGTTATTGCTTCAAATGGCATTTTTGTTTTTCTTCATTTAAACTTGCAATGGGCTCTATGATATTGTCCCACTTAGGAGGAGACAAATGACATCCCAAATAATGGCATATAAGAATGCCCTTTTCTTTACAGCCTCAACAGTATTTGTTAGTTGTTTTGCTTCGCTTGCCTTTTTGATACCAGCCATTCTGACTGAAGAGAGTTGATACCTTATAGTCTTCTCCAGTTCCTATTTGGTGGTCTTAATCAATTCATTGGAACCCCTGCATAGAATTCTACCAAGAAAATAATAGAGAAGTATTCTCAGAGACTCATATAATGTAGCTTTTAATCCCTACTCTTTCCCTAGCCTTCCCAACACTTGAAGCTCTATGTTTACTTGCTTACCATGCACATATGTGTGTGTGCTTTTGTTTATTCCTCCAAACACATACACTGAACACTCTTCATATTTATGTGGTATGTGCAAAATATTCAAAATACTTAGGCATCAAATAAATGTGTTCTAGTATTACAGACTCGGTCACAATGAGCAAGCCAAGTCCCTCATTGTATATCCCACAGGTGAGACAGAAATGAACAGATAAGTAAAATATCAAAAAAAATTAAGGAAGGGAAATAGAAAAGTAAAGTGAAACATTTGGGTAAATAAAGAGATTATATGTTTTAACTGTTTTTACTGTGTAAAACCATAAAGTAAGTTGCAATCCTACTACGATGCCTGAGTATTTACTGTGTGGTATTGGTATACGTAAATTATTTAGCCTTACCCAGCTTGATTCATATAGTCATTCAGTTCTAAAGATGCATATATAGTCATGGAAATAACTCATTTTCAATACAGAGTGGAAATACATTTTAAAATATTTTGTTCTTTGCAATTTGCATACATTCATTTTACGTATAATAATCAAATTCATCCACAATTACCTCCATCCCATTCCCCCAAGAGACCCCCTCACATCTTCTTCACATAGCCTCTTTTTATTTTTTAAATAATGTTGAGTCCAGTTAGTGCTATCCACATGTACTTAAGATTGTGGCTGTCCAGTGGATCATGAGAATCTTACTAGAGGCCATGTCCTCAAAGGTCTCAAATCAAAGAGTAGTGTTCTCTCCCTCAGCAAGCATCAACTGCCATTATCTCCCTTAATTGAGGTGGAGTTTGGGACTCCTTCCCCACCTGTGCTGGAAACGTGACTGCCACATTTGTCACCACAGCAAGAGTGGAAATACCTTAAAGCTGCATCTTTTCTGTTAGCTAAAGTTCCAAAGTTTGTGTCATTTTCAGGTAGCTGAAGATTTTCTCTTGCACAAATGTGTGCTATTTTGACACATTTTCTCTTGCACAAATAAAGGGTACTCAGGAGAATACGTGGATGGTAAATAATATCCACTTTCCACTAAGAAACTCCCCCCAACACTCCACTTCTGAAAAGACTTCTCAAAGAAAATAGATAGATGAAGTTATCCTGATTATCAGGCCCCTCACTTGCACACTAGACTGATCTCAAAGAAGGCCAATCCCAAACGGACTGTAAAGAACACCTACCAGCCCCCAAATCAGCTAGAGTTTTTATACTTGCACAGTCAGCAACAACTGCTTCCATTTCACTTCAGCAAAAGACTAGGTTGAAAGGCCATGGAGGAAGGAAGGCAGTCTGAAATTTGCCAGAAGGTAATAAATAGAATTGGTCATGAAGAGAGAGTAAAGAAGATGAGCCAGCAGGATCCATGAATTATAGAAGGAACCTTCCATTAATGGCCTTGCTGGTGAGAGAAGAACAGCTAGCATTAGTTTTCCTTTCACTCGGCGTACACAGTAGGGCAGAGAAATGGATGTTGTGGTCTCATGGAGGCTTGGGTAGTACACAACAAGCAACAACATTGTCTTCCTACTGTAGAGCAGTGAAAGAAAGACAAGGAGACCACCCTCAGTCTGCTAACCAGCAGCTCCAGGGGAGAGAGCAAATGAGAGAGAAAGAACAAAACCAAACATTCTCTCCCCTGACCAGCCCTTGTCTCTCTCACCCCCAGATCCCAGTGTAACTTCATCAGATTTCTTTGGCAGATAGCAGGTGGGTCTGTCACTGCCTCAGTGCCAAGGTGGATGGATAATAAGACCTCCCTTTCCTAACTCATTGTCTATCCTAAATATCAGAGCAGATAGGAAATGGCATGTGAGTATTTAAAGTTACCTAAAAGGTACTCTACAGAAATAAGATACAAATCATATCTGAATAAATCACACCATATGGATTGCATTGTGCTGCCAAGCTCTTATTTATTTATTATATTATATTATATTATATTATATTATATTATATTATATTATTTAAAGGTGAAGATTGTTGATGCATACTCCTCTTGAGTTGAAAACTGCGTGCAGGAGCAAAAGGGTTTTCTGTGAACTCTCAAATCCCTGTAAAACATTTATTTCTCTCACTACCTTGTTATTTCTCTCAGTATTTTGCTCTCTAGGTTCTCCCCTCCCCCGCGCCATTTTTTTTTTTTTTTTTTTTTGGTTTTGGTTTTTTTGTTTTGTTTTGTTTTGTTTTGTTTTGTTTTGTTTTTTGAGGCAGGGTTTCTCTGTGGAACTTCCCTGTCTGTCCTGGGACTCGCATTGTAAACCAGGCTGCCTTGAAGTCACAGAGATCTGCCTGCAGCTGCCTCCTGAGTGCTGGGATTAAAGGCATGCACCACCATCACCCGGCTAGTTTTTTCCTTTTCAATATTGTGATTTTGAGGAAAGAAAACAAAGCAATTTGTCTGGTGTGGAACTCTGAAAAACTAGATAGCTGGGAAGTTAAATTCAATTGCCCACTTTGTATTTATTATATGAGTGGCATTGTTTTCCAAATTCAATTCCATTTTAATGCCTGGATTTGTCTGTGTGAGATGAAGTGGCTGGAAATCAAAGCTACCATCTGTGTTTAGTCTAAAAAGACGATGTCAAATAAGTAAAAACAACAAACAGATACGTAAAAATGCATATTCATAAAAACGCCAATTCACAATTCACGGAAGACTTGGAATTCAGCATCTTTAACACAAGCCCCTCCACCAGATAATCCTTATGTATACACACACACACACACACACACACACACACACACACACAGGAACCAATGAAAAACTTTATCAGTGCCCCACTCCATAGCACACTCAAAACACAGGCTGTTTTACACAAGGGATGCATGCAATTATTTCTAAACATATTGACTTTCATTTTTTCTGACAAATAAGGGACTTGATTTATTTTTATCCATTGATTTTCATTATGACTTGTGAAATGTTTATTGTAGTGTGTCAAGAAAGATTTTCTGAGTATTATGTAGATATAATTAACTTACAGAATAATTATTTTTTGCATGATTACTTCTCTTCCTTCCTTCTTTACTTTTTATCTTCCTTTTATCTTTTTCCTTTTCTGTTTAATGTATTAATGGATTTCTCTTAGAACCTTGCTTTACGCTTTATATGCTTATCCCTTTATTGAATGGATGAGTGAATGAATGAATTAATGAATAAATGAGTCTTCCTTGACTATTTAAAATCACAGTTTTCCTTTGTCAAGTCTGTTCCATTTGCCCTCTTCCCTTTCTCTCCTTAATTCTTGCAGTAATATAGTCAATGAACTTACAGCCTCCTCATTGGGCAGTTCCAATTTTACAGATAAGAACATAGACTGGCGGAATAAAGGGATTCTCGGAAACACTCCTTTTTCCTCCATTTCAGAAGAGTGACTAGCACAGAGGTACACAATAAAAAGCTTTCAGAAAGGGAAATTCTCAGAAAACTTGAGCTGTCTTTTTCCTGTCATTCTTCTGCATGGATAATCAAAAGCCACTTACTTTTAAAGGAAGAGAAAATTCGTGACATTAGTGATTATTTAGAGCAGGAAAAAAATGAATGGGGTTTTGAAAGTAAATATGTGAAGAGTTATTACATCCCTGCTTCATTTAGAAACACATTGCTCATTGAGTTTCTCCAGACTGTGATTCCACAGCCACACGACACCAGCGTCCCCACACACATCCAATGCTTCGTGCTGTACCAGCGACACCACTTGCTCATTTCTTTGCAACTGTGAAATTTCCTTAAAACTGACCTCAAATGTTCAAAATGAGGAGCACTCTCTTCCAAAAGTGCCTGTAAAGACTCTAGACATCTGCTATGATCGACTCTAGCTGCACTGTACCTTCCCGCTTATAGGAGAGGTCAAAGTCAAGAAAAGGTGAGCAGAAAGAGAATCGCAGGCTTGGAGTCAACAGCTTGTAGTTTCATTCCTGTTCTAACTAGCTTGGTGAACCTGAACACCAAGGTGAATATAACACCGTAAGCTTGCACATAAGAATTTCAATTCCCCTTCCCAGTCTAAGCATGTAATGATTCTTCCTTCCCAATATTTCTCCCTTTTCAACAGTCTTAGCTTGGTGGCCCTTTCTTAAGGAGAGGGTGGTGTCTCACAGACCGGTTTGCAGGTATTAATACAGCCCATCACCTAACACCCGTTTCTACTTGTTCCCTACTAGAATAGCCAATGATAAAGAATTTTGTGTATGGGGAGGCACTCAGGTATCAGGCCCTGGATCACACGGTGAAGTTCAGGCAATCAGCAACTCAGAGCTTAAACAACACATTTATTAACAAAGTGGATGGACATCTGCTGCAGGCTGCATTGCCATCTGACAATAAATATTTGGTCAACGAAAAGTAGGATTGTCTTGAACCCAGTTCTCTAAGCTTGTAAGAGGGGCTGTGTGGAGAAGAACTTGCTACATCCTTGTCCTCCTTATGTTTTTGTACTACATTCAATAATTTTTCTTCCGGAAAATCCATTATTGAGATACCTCAGTGTTAAAACTAAGTTTATTAAACTAAGAAACAAAATTGCTTAATTGGTTCAGGTAACCACAAGTGATTGACATAAAGGATCTCCGTCATCTTCAGTTGACAATCCTAACTCATTTCATTTCTGTAGGTGCTCCCTGGATATCTGTACCCAGGCTCTCTCTTCATACAAAGCCCAGCATGCCACCATGTGACTTCTCACCTGAGAGATACCAGGTAAAATTCAGGCTTTCAGAAAAGAAAAGAGGTCACCCATGGGAGACTCCAAGACTTCCAAAGTCGTTCCCTAAAAGGACCCACAAATAATTATGCTTTGTAAGTCAACAGGTTTATCTTAGATGCCCTATTCTTTACATATTAGGGGGTATCAAAAGCCTTCTTACACTATGTACAAATTACAGATGAACTGTTGAGTATATGTGAGACTTAGACAGAAAGCATAAGAAAGGACTATTAAGAGATCACACGCACTTGCAATCACGTGTGCACGCAAACACACATACACACAAAATACCTCTCAGATGACTCAGGTCAAGTGTGTGAAATCAAAACAAACAAAAAAGAGTATGAAATCACTTACTTTCTTGTTAAAATGTTATCTTAGTTTACAAATAGCAATGCACCCTATGATCTTCCTTAGTTCCAACCCACCAAAACATATAGTTATTGTCCTGTTGTCAGATTAATAATGATTTCTCTCACTCTTTCTGGCTCCTTTCCTCCCTCTCTCCCTCTTTTATTCTATGTCATATTCCTTGATCCTAAATGTTAAAGGCCATAATCAGAAGTTCATAGGTGTGAACACTTGTGTTTTCAGCTTGCTATAAGCTAAAATCACCTAGGAAGTGGCCCTCTTGTATGTGTGTGGAGAATTATCTTGATAATGTTAACTGTTCGGAAAACCAATCTTAATTGTGAGTGGGAACACTTCTTGACACTGGAAACAGAGACAGGAGACCCCTGGGACCTACTAGCTAGTCTCCTAGCAGAATCAGTGAGCTCCAGGTTCATCAGGAGACCCTATCTCCAAAAACTAAGGAAAAGAGCAATTGAAGAAAATACTCAACATTAACTGTTAGTCTCCACACATATACACAACCTATGAATGCCCTGCACATGTCTGTGCATCTACACACACGGGGAGGGGGGGAGAGTAAGAAAACTTTGGTCATAAGATCAGTGGTAAAACACTGGCCTAGCAGGGCTGGAGAGATGGCTCAGCTGTTGGGACCCTGGTTCAATTCCCAGTACCCACATGGCAGTTCATAACTGCCTATAATTCCAGTGTCAGGGTATCCAACAACTTCACACAGACAGACATGCAGGCAAAACATGAATGTGCATGAAATAAATTAAAGAAATCATTAAAAAAAAAACTACTGGCCTAGCAAGGACAAAGCCCTGTATTCAATGGCCAACATAATGAACACTTCATTTATTCAGTTTTTTGTTTGTTTTGTTTCTGTTTGAAACAGGTTCTGTCTATGTAGCCTGACTGTCATGGCACTTACAGGGATAAGCTTGCCTCTGCCTCCCAATTGTTAGAATTAAAGGTGTGTGCAACCATGCCTGGCCATTTATTTATTTTTTAAATTATTTTTATAAACTTGTAACAGCAAAAATGGTATTAGTTTAGCCACTTATTTTCAAGCTTTTTTTTATTTTCATATTAAAATCAACTTGAAACCAGGGTTTTCCATTGAGAGATGGGAATTCCAACCTCCCTTCTTCATGTACACTCTAGGGGGGAGGGTAGTCATAAATAAAAAAGGCACACCATGAGAAATATCACCTGCTCAACAGGAAGGACTTTAATTTTCTCAGACCATATTGGGTAATGTGCCCATGTATAAGGCTGCACAGCAATGAGTCATGTGTTCAGGTCACTAAGGAGACCTCTGTACTGATCTGGTCTTGATCCTGTAGGACCCAACCATAAGAAATTTTAACTTGTTTACCTGTAGTCCCTGCCCTACAGCCGTGCCTTGGAGATTCACAAACAGCACCTTTCTCCTGTGGAAACGGCATATTTCCAGAAGCCTTTGCTGCTGCACCAGGGACACATGGAGTGGCTCTTTGATTCAGAGGGAAACAGATACCTGGACTTCTTCTCCGGGATTGTAACTGTTAGTGTTGGTCACTGCCATCCGTGAGTGTCCTTAAAATCCTCAAGGGTGGGGGGAGGGTTGCACTCCAGAAAAACATGGAAAACGATCGATCATTCATGTCACTCAGAGCCCTTGATTTACATATTTTGACTTCAAAATATGTATGTTATAGTCTGTGCTGACATGGACCTACATGCTTTTCCTGTGTAAGAGGTTAAAAAAAAAAAAAAAAAAAAAAAACTTCCAAAGAAAACACTTGATTCTTTACTTTTCCTTGCTAATGGAAGCTTTGATCATTCCTAGTGCACATACAGTGTATGATTCGGCATCTCTCTGTGTGAGTCTTGATGAAGAAAATTTTTCAAAGACTGAGGAAAGGGACAAGTGGTGGGCAACTGTCAGGCAAACATAGAGACAAGTGAATGGCATGAAGTATGAACCAGGAGAAGTAATTGCTTAATCCACGATGGACCGTCTTTGTGGCCTCTAAGAGGTTGATAAGGAATGCAATTTTAACACAGAGATGCAACCCTAGCTGGAAATTTACCTAGAAATGTGTGAAACAAAGTTGAGATTGTCTGAAATCTTGAACAGCTCTCCCACACACAGACTTTCAACACACTCCTCCCTGATCCTCTGGGTTTCTACATGGTCACTCCATTTTTTTAACTTTTATTATATAATTCACAGTTTTATTATAGTTATGATGATGCTTTGTCAAGTGTTTTTTAACTGAAAGAGGACTACATCACTTTCCCCTTTTCCCACCCCCCTCCTTTTCCCATACTCCACCCACTCTCAAGTTGAAAGCCTCTTTTTCTTGATTATATTTGTTAGGTTGACGTGTGTGCACACAAATATATATGAATACAACTTACTTACTTTCCTTTGTTGTTTATGTGCACAGAGTTTCAGAGTTGACCACTTGGCATGGGACAAGCAGTAAGGGGGTTCATCCCTGCAGGAGGCTAGTTCTCCTTCTCCCAGCAGTCAATGGCTACCTATGGTTCCTTTTCTAGGGGTGGGACCCAGAGAAATTTTTCCCCTTTCATGTTAAAGAGTTCATTGATATTGTCATTGTTCTGGTCTTGGTTTGCAGGCATTTCTAGGACAGGCTATCTTATAGCTGACATCTAGTTTTCTGGCTCCCCACTCATTTCCACCCCCTTTTTGTGCTGTTTCCTGAACTGCAGATTGTCTCCTGCCCTTAAGAATGAATGAACTTAATTTATATATAATATATATATATATGATTATATATATAGTGCATATAGCATATACAAACACATACATACTACACCTATATTATGGAAAAACAGCATAGACAAAGTAATTTGAATAGATTGAGGCCTTCCTATCAAAGGACCAGCGGCTCTCTCCTGTGAGTGCTAATGGGAGAAGAACCATGACTTGGGCCCTTCTCCTTCTCTGCTTCCTATTCTTTCCCTTTCTGCTTTTGGGAGGTGCAGATCCCAAGCATCCAAGCTAAATTTCAGAAGCCTTAAAGTGAAGTACAGATGTTCATGAAAGCAGAGAGCAACACGAGCAGAATCCTCCACACACTCACAATGCCCCTCAGACAGCTCTTACTCATTCCCGTGACCTTTGTACAGCTTTCAATGACCCTGGTGCTGGGATTCCAGTTACGTCTTTATCTCTACCTCTCTTCCTCTCTGCTTCTTCCCACTCACCATCTCACCACATTCCCTTCACTGCCACCCTCCTGCCCTGTTCATTTGGTTACATTTTCAGCACTTTTATCCAATATCATACCTTCAGCTATGGCCCCTCAGCAAAATACAATAGTAAGATGAATACACTCAAAGAGGGCATCAGGACACCCCACATTCCTCAATCCATGAAGAATCTCTCCCATGCCAACATATTCTAAGACTAAGCCCATCTTCTCTACAAAGCTGATTTTATTCATGTAGTCACTTATTCCAGAAACACATGTGAACCATCTCCTGGAGAGCCCTGGTACCCCTCGGTTGTTCCTGGAATTTGCCCAGCATTCGAGCCAAGAAAATCAAAGTTGTCTTTGAGTTCTCTTTTCTGTTTCCTACAGCCAACCTGATGCCATAGATCGGAAGCCTCCACCCAAAACTCCCTAATCCTAGGGGCTCCTCTTCCCACAGTTCTCATCAACACAAGTGTTTTCAGAACTCATCTGGCCTCCACAGAAAGGCCACCTTGTCCACCTAGCTGGCTGCCACATTACCAGTAATCTATGTCCCCTCCATTTTACATGTCACCTGGCTCTCAAATTTACTTCTATCCGCAGTGCTGTTGTCAAGGATCTCATCTCTTCAAAAACTTAATGATATTTGCAATTTTCCTAAGTGAGATTTTTGGGATGATAGCTAGAGGAGTTCCTTGGAAAGAGTTCCAGGAAAAGATAAGAATAGGACACACTATGAACTCCTCCTCTCTGCATCTCAGAGAGCAACAGTAGGCCAAGCAATGGCACTAACAAGTTGCACAGTAGAGAAATTTGGTTAGCCTGGTATTTCTCAAAGTTATTCAACCACTGAGCTAATTTTTAGGTGTGGCAGATATTAATAGCAAACAGAATTGATGTGAATCAGACCTCAGCCACTGCTGCCATTTAGATCAAGTTCAAACATCTTTCCCCATCTTCCCAAGGCCTTCCTATTTGGGCCTTCATTATAAGCCTTCTAATATGAAAGGTTAAAGTGATGTTTTAAAGAATGACACTTCAGCATGACAAAATACTCATCACCACTCATCACTGCTCCAGTGAGACTAGTGGAGACTAGTGGAGACTAGTGGAGACATGTGAAACCTGCCTCCTGAGACTGTTGAGGAAGTAGCCATAGGTCCAGGTTCTATGGTCTGGAGGAGAGGGCATGCCTTTTGGTGGTGTGCTCTTGATTTGTTATGTTTTTCTCCAGGAAGGTAACTGCAGTGGCGCAAAAGCAGATGGACCACCTGTGGCATACAAGCTCTGTCTTCTTCCACCCTCCAATGCACGAATATGCAGAGAAACTTGCAGAACTTCTCCCTGAGCCTCTTAAGGTACAGTGCTGTGTGCTCCCAGCTCACAAGGGCGGTGACCTGTGAGCGCAAAGAATTTATTTGGTCTGGGTATTAAAGGTCTACCAAGGTGAGCAGATAGCCACATCTAAAGCACTCAAGCTGAAAAAAGGAGTTCTCTAAGTGGCTCATGAAACAATCCAAAATTTTCATGTGTCCCCCCTGACTCCCCTCTTCTAAGTCACCTCCTAATGTCTTTCCAGAAATCTCTACTTAGGAATCCCAGTCCTCCAGATGCTCCATGGTATTGTCAAGAGATTTCCTTCTCTTTGTTCCACATCGTTTCTGAAAAGTTATTTTCATTTCATCTCTTATAAAAAGTGAAGCCATTCCTTATAAATAGCATTCACCAAAAATGCACTTAGATGTTTTAACTGAATGAGGTATTTTCTGCATCTGAAATGAATTAAAGTTGACACTGAATTGGAATCTAAAGATACTTTCCAAGATTAAAATGCAAGGCATTAAATGTGTGTGAGAGAGAGGGGGGAAGAGAGAGAGGGAAAAAGAGAGAGCGAGATTAGTGCCCAACACATGGCTTTATTTATTATTTTACTCTGTCATCTCAATATTCCACTTACTATGTTATGCAGAATAGAGAAAGAAATTTGGGGTGGCCATCGCTGTGTTCAGATCCCAGTCTTCATGGCAGAGTAGAAATGTGATGGTTGGAAAAGCCATGAATGCATGCCTCCTTGTTCCTGCCTAGAGGAGCTGGACCCCTTCGATTCTTGCCCTTATTTTGTTCAGACTAATCTGTATTTTGTGTCCACAGTCACACAGAAACATCATCTGGGTTAACCTCTTCAGGTTGCTAGGTTGGGGCCCTGCCTCATTCCATACTTTCAGAATTAAATGGAATGAGTTAGGTGCAGAAACCAAAAGACCTCATTCATGGATATTCTCTGCTGCTGACCACTGTGGGCCTCTCAGAAAGTCTTCTCATCTGCTCATTTTGCAGCTCATCAATTGAAGCTAATAAAAGCTCCAATTTTCACAAATGAGTCAACCTCTTAGCCAGTTTTGTTAGCACTTAACAGCTGTTCAAGGAAGGGCTGTAGAATTTATGTAGTCCATAAAAGGGAGGAGAGATTGGAGACAGAAGCTGACCTGAGGGAACCTAGAAGTACTATGCCATGTATCTTGCTTTCCCCATCAGGTCATCTTCCTGGTAAACAGTGGATCAGAAGCCAATGACCTGGCCATGGTAATGGCCAGAACATACTCAAAGCACACAGACATCATTTCTTTCAGGTAACCATATTTTATAACATTCAACTCAGCAGCACTGACGTACCCCAACACTAAATGTGCTTCTTTAAACTGTAGCAAAGAAAAGGACAGTTTTCCCAGTATTCTTACAATGTCTTTTTGAGGGCAGTTCAATCCAGTGAATCTTATGACTAGATAATTCAACCTAAATTGGCCTTATAAACTCTTGGTGAATATATTAGCATTTAAAATAACAGAAAAGTATGTTCCTAGTTTGCATCCTTAATGCATTTACAGAGTCTTATAAGATTTATATAGAAGACATGGGTAACAGAGTAAAAAAAAAAAAAAAAAAAAAAAAAAGGATGGAATGAAGAAGTTAGTCCTGTGTTAAATCCATCTCAGGGTAATTTATGCCTAAACTCAAAGATTTGTGTCATAGCAGACTACAGATTCCATTTGAAGCACACGTATATTTTTGTAAGCCTAAAGAAACATTTGCTATCAAATAAATATGGCAATAACACATTGCGATTGTGTTTTACCAAAATAACCTTTCAGAACACAAGATAAGTATTGATCTATTTGAAACAGACTTCTACATAAACTCTGCCTCCTTTTTCATGATCATTCTTAAAAATAAAATTTGGAACTCATTGAAGGATGATTTTGATTTAGAAATTTTCTAAATTGATTAAGATAATTTATACAAAGAATGACTTTTTTAAGAATGACAGTTTTAAGGAAACCAAAACTGTTTCTAATATTATAGATAAAGTCAGATCAGTCACATGAAAAGGACAGCACACTGAGCAGTAGTTTCATCACAGTAACAAATATTTGTCTTCCTCGGGTGACTGCTTTGAAGATTTGCGTGGGTTGACCATGTGATCTCTGGAACGCTGCTTTAAAAAAAAAAAAAAAAATCAGTCTCATTATGTTAGAGTGACAGATTCAAAATTAAGAGTCCTTGATCAACCAGTTCCAAAATTATTTTCGTAGTTTCAAATCTATGAGACCAGTGGAAAATATCAATGAATGCATTCACATACCATAAGCTTAGGTGGATTCTTAAATGGTGTCAGGTTTGAATGTTTATGTTCTTCTAGTCTATCCCATGTCTTTTTTTTTTTTTTTCCTTCTGAAGCAAGTAAACTATGAAAGAGAAATAAACTTGACTTCTTTCTCCCATGTTTTCCTCCCCAGAGGTGGCTATCATGGATGCAGCCCCTATACACTTGGCTTGACAAATGTAGGGATCTACAAGATGGAACTACCCAATGGGATGGGCTGCCAATCAGTGAGTTCTGAGACTTTCCTCTTGTTTAACTACAGACTGCTGGGGTTACAGGATAATTGATCAGATTTTCCTGGTACTGAAATTAGAAATTGATATAAAGCATGTCATTATCCAAGGCCTCAATTTGACTTAAAAAACTCTACCAGTTGAAGAAAATGTTTCTTAGAAATGTCCTTAGAGTCTGAGTACTAGTTAATGATAGAGTTTTCAATTTTATTTTGCTCATATATACAACTGGGGAAACTCAAGGATCTTAGAAACTTGAATACACAAAGCTTCTCTCAAGCCATCCCTGTCCTCTCTTTCTGTTCTCATAGGCCAAATCCATCTTTTTCAGCATCAGAACCAGATACCCAATTATCCTTATTCTTTATGATGGCCTCATCTGCTAAACATTTGAGAAAGATGCTTCTGAGATAACGTCAAAATTAATTTTCTCTGAAGAGTAGTCACATAAGTAATTTCTAAGAAAAAAAATCTATCTCTTCAAAAATGATTACATTTTTATTGTTAACAAGAAAGGAATGAAGAAGGAATCTCAATATCAAATTAAGAAGCACGCTTGCCTTAGTTGTCACCACATGCATCCCCAAATTGGGTATTTTGGGTTTGTGTTTTGCCAAAATCCTTCTTTTGTCATTTGCAGACAATGTGCCCAGATGTTTTCCGAGGCCCTTGGGGAGGAAGCTACTGTCGAGATTCTCCAGTGCAAACAGTTAGGAAATGCAGCTGCACTCCAGGTCCAAATGGGCAGGGAGGAAGGGGGTAGGGTTGAACATTAGGTGGGGTCAGGAATTTGGAAAAGGGCAAAACAAATTTGGGAAATTGGGAAAGTGAAAAGCCAAAATAAACAAAACAAGAAAATACTAAGTGAGCCCTCACTGACTCAGAGCTTCACCTGCCATCTAGCTAAGAAGGGAAAGTTGCTCATGCCTTCAGACTGAAGCCTATAACCAGCATGTCACCTGACATTTAAGTGGGCTATGAGATGAGTGCAACCATTCATCAATTCCCAATGGTAGAGGGGAAGAGAAAAAAAAGGATATGTCTGCAAATCTCAAAGCACCAGTCAAGAAATTTTCCAGAGACCCCAAATGCCAGCCAAACAACATCTGCCATATACGGAACTGATCATGGATGCCAGGGACACTAATGTCTCTTGCACAGGACTTAGTCATTCTCTCCAGGCTAAGTTCTATTTATCAATCACAGTTTTGTTTGAATTCATAGCATGAAAGAGAAGGGGAATAGAAACATACTGGGTCTTCTCTATTCAGATTTGTCATCATAGTACAGAACCTTTTGGACAGCTGCTCCTCGGGAGTTCTAGAGGAAAGAACGAGTGCTCCAGTCAGAGGATATTTAATAGAATGGCATGAGTCACTAGGTTGAGAGAAAGAATGAAAAGAGTGAAAAATGGAAACTTTAAAAAGTCGGCTTTGAATAGAAAAAAATCATCTTAAAATTCATACAAGATAATAATGCAATGGAGAATGAAAGATTGAGCATAGGAACAAGACAAAATGTCATGGTCACAGAACTTAAAAACACACCGAGGGTTTTCAGCTATAAACAGACTCTCCATTTTAAGAAAGATAAGCTGAAGTTCACATTGAAGAAGTAGGAAAACTAGGATTAGACCTCAAGTCTTCAGACCCTAGCCTCAGAAATCAAGTGCTTTCAATCCCTGTGACCACTCTCCTTCAGACAGGTGTGCCAGCAAGGTGAACCCAAGCTAAACAATAATTACTTCCCTTCTTCTTTTCCATGTTTGAGGACATGCATGGGGTCAAGAGATCTAGACTGCACTCCATCTTGGGCTTCAGTTTTCTCATTTATAAAAATGAATAATAGTAACAGTGATAATGATGATGATGATGATGATTAATAATAATAAATAAATAACAATGAGGACCAAGGCCTGCACCTCACTCTCATCATGACACTTTGTGAGATCAGGGATATACAAAGCCTTATAGAGGAAAGCATTTATTAACAGTTTCAATTTCCTTGGGAATATATATAAAGGCCCTCTGCAGAGCCACCAGCAAAGTGTAAAAGATTAGAGCACTTCAGAGCAGGTCACTCCTTCCCTCCTTATTCTGTATCCTTCCCTCTGTCCATCTTTTCTGTGTTCTCTCTCTTAGATGCCTTCCCTCAGACCAGTGGTTCTCAACCTGTGGGTTGTAACCTCTTGGGGTGGGGTGGAAGGGTTTCACATATCAGACATCTTGCATATCAGAAATTTATATTTACAATTCATAACAGTAGTAAAATTACAGTTATAAAGTAGTAACAAAACAATTTTATGGTTGGGGTCACTACAACATGAGGAGCTGTATTAAAGGATTGCAAAATGAGGAAGGTTGAGGACCACTGCCCTAGACCATCTTGAAATAGAATAGCAGCATGATATCCCTCTAAATGTCATCGAGAGGATACATGATAATGGAAGATATATGCTGTCCTTTGTGTATCTATAGTCTCCTGTTAACTGTTGTAGTTACAAGAATGAGACCACATTTTTGTTTCCCCTTTTATTGAAAATAATTTTCTCATATAATATATCCTGATTACAGTTTCCCCTCCCTCTACTCTTCACAGTTCCTCCCCACTTCCCCTCCCACCTAGATCCACCCCCCTTCTGTCTCTCATTAGAAAATAACAGACTTCTGAGAGATGACAACAAAACATAACAAAATAAAATAGAGTAAGATAAAACAGAAAGCATTGCGTCAAAGTCAGACAAGGCAAAGCAAAACAAGGCAAAGAGCCCAAGAGAAGGCACAAGATTCAGAGACTCATTCCTTCACACACTCAAGTGACCCTTAAAAGTACTGAACTGAAAACTCTTAACATATATGTAGAGGACCTGGTGCAGACTCCATCAGGTCCTGGGTTTGCTGCTTCAGTCTCTGTGAGTTCATGATCTTTGCTCAGTTGCTTTAGAGGGCATTGTTCTTCTGGTTTCCTCCAATCCTTTAGCTATTAGATTCTTTATGTCTTCTCTTCAGAGTGGTTCCCTGAACTCTGAAGGGAGGTATTTGATGGAGACCATCCACATGAGACCATCCACATGGAGCTGTGACATAAGATATGAAAATGGACTGCAGACTGCAGTGATGTCTTTATGTTTGGTCATTGTACTCAGTCCACCTTGCCAGGCAATTTTAATGTAAATGGTTCAAGTTGGTAGTTGCTTCTAGAGTTTTCTCACTAGGTGTATACAACCATAGTATGGATATTTTCATTATGTAATTATATCGACAGAAGCCAGTTTGTTGTTTTTATGTGGTAGATGTCATAATCTTCTACCTAACTCCTGGATTTTTCTAACTCCAAGGGTTTATTCTAAGCCCATATTTCCAGGCATATCCCATGGCAAATATACCTCTTGTAACTCACTGCCCTTACAGTGTTCTAAAGCTGGTACTGATTGTGCCATTCTTTCTTTTTTTAAGGAATTTCTCCTTTTCCTTGATAATGTTATTTTTTTCTTGGTTTCTCACTCTGCTTACCTCTTTCTGTAACACCAACTGAAATACACCCCAGAGTGATAATTCTGTTATGATAGCCAACAGAGCATCCACATTCTCTTGATGTTGCCATGGAGACATCAATGCACCCTGTCTCTCTCCATAGGAGGCCTGACCTGAAGCTACAGGAATGGGCCAAAGCAACATATCCAAAATGGAGGAAACACAATAGATGGTATTACTTCTCAGCAAACCCATGGATGAGTGAGAGTAAAATATGAAATGTGCAGGAGAAACTCAAGCAAAATCTTCCTTTGACAAGATTTTACCCTAACTTAAGCACTTCAAGTTGATTATTTTCTATTCTGCTATTCTTAATTACAAAAGAGCTTGCAAGACCCAAAAGTCAGGCCTTTTATTCCTGTTTGATACATCTTCTAGAGTCTGTCTCTTCCTTTCCTAATAAAAATAAGAAAATTTGACCTCAAACATATCAGGTATCTATGTCAATAAAATTTTCCTAAATGTCACATGCATTCTGGAAACATGATGTTTTCCTTACTCTTTCTTTAGTGGAGCTCAAGTATAAATGCATTTGGGTTTAGTTTTCTTTTATAATTGTTGAGGGTTGTCTAGTCTTCAGGAGATGGGCTTAATGCAAACCTCTAAGCAAATGATGGGATAACAGTTGTCTCAACACACAGACCCCTGAGGTACTTTCTAAAGAAATGGCCCGAGGTCTCCCACACGATCCACATCTTCCTCTTGATCCAATCTTTGGGCATAGATTTGCGGTTACATTCAGAGATGCTATGGTACTGCTGAGAAGGCAGCTATGGATACAGATAAACATTCTTAAAGTTCAGTCACATGTAGATACTGCTCATGTTTGTGGAAAAATTAAATTTTTCACAACTAAACTCAAATATGTCACTTTTAAATGTTTCTAAACATCAACCCAGAAAGGGTTATTCTACTAACCAAAGCAGGCCTAGAATTAAACTAATAGTAAGTGTGACTAAGAAACATAGGAAACCCAAATTATTCTTTCCTACATTTTTGGCAAAGAAAGAAACCCAGAACACATAGACACCAAGTTCAAATTCTGTGTGGAGAAAGGAAAACCCTGTGTTCGAAGACCTTGTTTTTATTTTGTATGAAAATTTCTAAGTGTGAAGATTAGTGAAACATAAACTGTAAAGAATAAATATTGCCACTTAAATAGCATTTTATATAGGTACTATTAGGCAAAAGTATTGTACAAGTCTCAATTTGCTCTAAGTTACATTTTTAAAGGGTGTGATAGAGTGCCCCTATCAGAGATAACTATCTGTGGATCCCAGCTCACCATAGTCTAAGAACCTCCAGTTAGTTGGCTATTCTTGCCTCTTGGTGTTTCCTGAATACCATTCTCACATCACAGGCTGTGATTTGTGTATCTGTGTATGTGTTTGCTGCAGACTGTTGCCAAGCAAAAGAACAGTATATTGAACAATTCAAAGAAACCCTGAACACTTCTGTGGCCAAGTCAATTGCTGGATTTTTTGCAGAACCAATTCAAGTAGGTATATTAATATAGTGTCTCTCTGAATTTTCCATTATCATAGTTTTGACTCCAAGTTAATTGTCTGTTTCTGTGTTCCTTTCCAAGCACAGTTCATTCTTTTAGTCTGCTTTAAAGAGAAGAAGGAAGGAAGGAAAGAAACGAGTTTTCTGTAGACCTTCAAAAAATACAGTCTTCATTCCTACATAGACGAAATGGACAGATAAATAGGTGAAACTACTGCGTCCCTAAAGTCCTCAGGAAAAGAATACCCCTTTGATGTTTAAGTATTTAACACACACTGCTCAGGGAAGTTTACCTTTAGCTCATCAAGCCTCTTTATTTCTAAGCTCAGGAAAGAATAGTCACATCTTTTTCCCTGAAGGCATGGTGTGAAAGTCCAGGTTGGAACAGTTCTGTACACTGTTCATTTGGCTGATAGCATGGGTGTCATGGTGATGAGGATAATGATCTATCCTCATCCTTGGTGCTGAGCAAGGGCTTCTGCTGGCACTTAAGTCTTCCTGATTTAATCTTTTGCAGGGTGTGAATGGTGTTGTCCAGTACCCGAAGGAGTTTCTGAAGGAAGCCTTTGCATTGGTTCGAGAGAGGGGAGGTGTGTGCATTGCAGATGAAGTGAGTGACTACACCAGGGCACTACTTGGAGTGATAAAGACAGGCCAGCTGCAGAAAGAGACCTCTTCAACCCCTGTTTCAGGCAGAAAACAAGTGCATGAGCTCTGAAGTGTGGCCTCTGCTGGTTTGTTAGAAAGTTAGAGTAACAAATATAATGGAACTTAAGCATCCCAACTGGTTTCTTATTTAAAAAGTTGCTATCAGGCACAGGTGATGCTACTGTTACACAGTGTGTTTTTACCTTGCTGCTATTATTATTCCTTGTTGTAAGAATTGCTGCCAGACCCCTGACAAGCCAAAAAAGATATTTAATCCTATAGTCCAGTGTCCATCTTAAATTTTACCAAAGTGATGTCAGGTAGATTGTTTTTTAAAGAATAAGTAGTAATTCGGCGTCTAAATTAGAAGGTTGCTACCATTTCAATTAGATTGCACACACTTGTAACATGTCAGAGTTGAAGCAGCCCAGCTGAAAGTACACAGTAGCCCCAGGGAGACTGCTTTGAAGGAACTAACACTCATCAGCATTGTGGGCTCCAGCTTGTGTACTTAGAATTACACCTTGGATTGCAGTATATCAGATAAAGCAGCATCTTAGCCACTTAGAATAGCTCTAGAGATTTTTTTATTAAAAACCAGAGAACAGCACCCAGGCCACAGAAGTCCTCTCCCACTTTGCTGCTGGAGCCCAGCATGCTTGCATAAACAGGAGGCTTGACCCAAGGACAAATAGGAAACCCGTGTGTCTCCTATTCATGCCAGTCTCACTTGCCTTTACTGTTTTCCTCACAGTTCATGCTGGGCTGCCCCATTGGCAGAAATTTTGCAGTTGCCAACACCACTTGTGTGGCTAAGTCCCTGTCGGGCTCAGAGTGTACCAATGCCAGGGCTGCCCCATAGAAGCTCGAGCAAGGTCTCCCTGCTCTATTCCTTGTACTAGTGGACTCATCAAGGTCCCATTGAAAAGAAGGTAACTGACTATTAACAGAAGAAAAAAATAATAATAACACCACACCACGTTCAATCAGTTTGAAATTAGCTGTCTTGGGAAAGAGGATTAAACCTTGGCCTTGGAATCCACACACAGCAAAGCTTTCACAATCAGACTAATTAGAAGGAAGATAGGCTGAATTCAAAGAAAATCGGAACTTAAGAATTTCCAAGAGATGTGGTTTCGTGACATTCTCTTGTTTTTCTCCCACCGCCCCCAATTTCATGATTTTCAAGAACATAACATGGGGCAAGTTTAAGAAAGACTGGAAAGTTAACTGGTAACAGGATAATAACAGACAGAGGGCATGAATTCACCATCCCAGCCCCCACTGCCACAATTCTCAGCATCCGACTCCCTACTGTGCACTCCTCATCCCTAAGATTTCCACACATCTGAATGAGCCATCTGCCCCACTGTGCAATGAAACTCATGGTTCTCGAGACTGGTCATGCTTTATTTTGCATGGTTTTGTGTATTTTCCAAACAATAGTCCGTTTCCCCATTTGCGCTATTTTTATGCCACTTAAGATAGATGGAGAGGAGCCAGAATATAGGTCAAAAGACAAACTATATGAAATTCCTGCATTATTATTTGGTCCAGTTAATCAGTTTGTACAGTGGCCTGCTGCTAGGAAGTAAAGACTTGGGGTTCCAGGCCAGGTGTGTCAGACTCCCACATCTCAGATCTCCTCCTGATTCGGTCTCTGTCACCTCAGATTAACTCCTAGAATCAGCTCATCTCCTATACTGGTCACTGTCACCTAAGAACAGCCAAGAACCTAGTTGTAGCAACCTGTGATAATGGTAAATGAGAAGGAAGTATTTGAAAAACAAAACAAAACTTGTCTTTGATGCATTTGAGACTGGGCTTCAGGTGTCCTGAATGGGCACCTTGCCAAGTGCCCATTTGGAGATAGAGACAGGCAGACATAGAAACAGGGACAAAATGGCTCTGGTCTGGAGATGTTCATGACATCTTTCTGTCATGATTTTTTTTTCCTTCTACAAACACTAAGAATCTAATTTAGGCAGGGCTGTCGTGACACATACATTGTTAATAAGAATCTATTGAGAAAGTCTGGTGGCCACATGCCTAGAATGCTTTGAGTAGAGCCTACTGGAATCTAGGACGATGAAAGTGGATTTTGGAACATAAGTCATTGAGAGTAAGAACAGTGTGAAAACAAAAACTATGACCAGCTTTCAGTGCATGGCTGATTCTAGATTAATGCAATATAATCTGAACTCATTAACTCAGCCGTGCCCTCCTCCTAATGCAGGAAGATAGAAAGACAGCATTGTCTCATTGAGTGGTAAGCATCCAGCCCTAATGAGCAGACAGTTACTCTTGCCTCTTCCAGGGGAGCCAGTTTGCCCACTTTTCCCTGTGGTTGTTGTGCACAGAAGAGACGTAAAGAGGGTTAATCATCCCAATGCCTTTTGCCTGTGTTATTTATATAACTCTCAAGCAGGCCTGTGTTGTGCTATGCTGATAGGATTATTTCTCCTTGATATATTAATTAACAGAGATTCAAAAGACATAGAGAATATTTCCAAAGTCTCACAAAGGTAGGAAATGGCTTTAGGTATGTCCAACCTCAGACACAGGTCAAGGGTTTTGTCAATGAGCCTGAAAGGATAGAGAAGGCTAAGGAGAGACAGGAAGGAGGTAAAAGGAAGGGAGTAGAACAGAGCCTGAAAGGTTTTCATTGATGTTTTAAAATCTATTTCCAGGTACAGACAGGATTTGGAAGGCTGGGCTCTCACTTCTGGGGCTTCCAAAGCCACGATGTACTGCCTGACATTGTCACCATGGCTAAAGGGATTGGGAATGGCTTCCCTATGGCTGCGGTTGTGACCACTCCAGGTACAATGTTCAGCGTGACCATGCTTGCTCCAGGGCCTTCTGCACTGGCAATGGTATAAAGCATGGATTGCAATGTGTATAAGCTAGATGCAGTGATGGGAACCACAGAATATGCTGTCCAAGCAAATGAGGCATGGGGCAGCTGGGAAAGAGCCAGCCATTCCCATCTTGCTGGAAGGAAGACCACCTCTTCCATCACAGTAGTTAAAGTCAGGATTAGGAAAATAGGTTACAAAACAAAACACCGAAATTTCCAAAAGACTCTTTCCTTGAAAGAGACTCTTCCATGGTCACATGGTCTTCCCATGCCATTAACTATACAGTTCAAGCTCCAGATACCTCTGTCAGTGTCCTATCAGCCAAATACAATAAAATCTCATTTATTCAGAACACTCTATGGCAGCAGTTCTCAATCTGTGGGTCGCAACCCTCTTGGGGGTTCTATGTCAGATATCCTGCATGTCAGATATTTACATTAAGATCATAACAGTCACAAAATTACAGTTATGAAGCAGCAATAAAATAATCTCATGGTTGGGGGCCACCTCAACATGAAATGTATTAAAGGGACACCGCATTAGGACAGTTGAGAACCACTGCTTTATGAAATAAAGGTTAAGTTTTGATTTTCTATTGTTGTGAGACTTTGACAGATATTATTTCATGTGAACCACTGGTCGATGAAAATTATTTTGTATGTATTTCCTCCCAATAGTCAGCACATGTCTGAGCCATTAAACAAGGTATCTGTTTTCCTAGAAAATAAAGCTGCTTTCCTTATCCACATATTAGTCAGCTTAGGCTGACTAAGCAGGACACCATGGATCAAATGGCTGGAAGAACGGAAATTTATCTTCCCACAGATTTGAAGGCTGTCAAGATCAAAGTGCTGCCAGGGCTGAGGAGTGCCTAGGATTCTCTTCTAGCCTTGTGGATAGCCACCTTCACATCATTTCTCCAATGACCTTTCCTATGTATGCCCACACAGGAGAGATGAGAGGCACACTAGACTCTCTCACTGTTATAAAGACATTGTCCTGTGGGAGTTGGGCCTCAGCTTTGTGACCGTTTAAAGACTCGATCTCCAAATATAGTCACACTTGGTGCAGCATTTAAATATTCAGGGTTTAAGGGAACACAATTCAGTCCTTCACTGTTAGACGTGTCAAAAGGGAAATAAATGGATGTCATTTACAAGAGAAAAGTGACACAATGGGCAAGACTATGTCACTTTAACATCTTTATTTTCCACCCTCAGAAATTGCTAAATCTTTGGCTAAATGCCTACAACACTTCAACACGTTTGGAGGGAGCCCCCTGGCCTGTGCCATTGGATCTGCTGTACTCCAGGTCTGTTCTGTCCCTCACACCCACTGATGCCGTTGATTGCATGCACTAAGGAACTATTTTAAACCACACACTTTATCTGAACTCTGCCACACTGCAATTGTAAAGTAAGAATGTAATCAGTAATACACCAGTTTGAATTTCGTCTCCAGCTATTATTCTCTGTCCCTCTCTTTAAAGATTATTTCGGCTGCTTGAAGTTCTGAATAAGAGGCACTATATAATCACCTTCACATACATGGGAAATGTAACAATTGCCCTGAATTTTTCTTGTTTTTGGGTAGTATTTGTTGTATAGGCTTTAACAGCCATTCACCCTTTTAATTTTAGCTTTTGCCATGTACTATAAATGTCTCTCTTCTGTTTTATTGTCTTAAATGAAAAAAACTATAGAGAAACTATAGATTTTTAGCTGATTATATCAGGGTAATTCAGCTACTATGAAAAATACTGTTCAGCTCTATCACATTCGTTTAGCTTAATATTCGCCACTTTTATAATAATCTTGTCTGAGAATTTCATAGATACCTATAGTATGTTTTAATCAAATCCACTCCCCTTTTAATTACTTCCTTATAACCACCCACCACCTTTTCCTCCAAACTTCATGTGCTTTTCTTTTCTTTAACTCACTGAGTTTATTTAATGATGCCTGTATGTACATGTTTATGGGACCATGTACTGGAGCATGGGTAGCTTCTCAGGGCCCATTTTTCTAAAGAAAACTGTCTCTCCCTTTCTAAGCAGCCATCATTGGCTCCTCAATAGGAGTGGGATTTTTTCTTCTGGCTCATAGCATCCTGTAAAAGTAGTTCAGAGATAGGGCCCTGCCTAGCATGTTCAAGATATTGACAGTCCCTCAAACAATTTATGCCACCACATTTCCTTTGTATGGACATACTAGATTTTGTTCTATTAAAAATGCTTCTGCTATGAGTATTTATGCACAAAGTGTGTGTGAACATAGTCTATTTTCTTGTGTATTTACTTGGAGTGGTAAGTGTATATTTAACATTTGAAAATGAAATTCCAAGCTGATTTCAAAGTGACTACTATTTTGAATCTGACTTGTGATGCATTAGAGATTCCAGTTGCTCAGCACTGGCCAAGGTTTGTATCACGAAGCAATTGCAGAGACTTTGATTTCAGTCGCTCCACAGGGTCATTTGTAGGCCTGACTTGCATCTATCTCTTCAAGTAGAAAGGGTGTTGAACATCTTTTCATGTGCTTTTGAGCTATTAATATATCTTCTTTGGTAACATATATGTTCAAATCTTTTATCCAATTAATATTTGACACTTCTTGAGAGCTTTTCATATATTCTGGATACAAATCCTTTGCCAGATAGACATTCTTGTTTACAAATGTTCTCTGTCGTTCGTTTGCTTTGTAATTTTCTATTACTGTTTTTGTTTACTATTAATAGTAGAAGTAGTATTTGTGTGTAGGGTATTTGTGTATTTGTGTGTAATGTCTATCTTTAAACTTAGATGTGTTTCTTGTATGCAGCAGAAGGATGGATTCTGTCTTTGTATCCATTCTGTTAGCCTGTGTCTTTTTGTAGGCAAGTTAAGACCATTAATGTTGAGGGAGAGCAAGGACCATCGATTGGTAATGCTTGTTTGGTAGACTTGTTGTTGCAGTGGTATTGTGAATACATTTGTTCTGCTTTATCCTTGGGTTCTGGTGAAGTGGGATTATCTATTGCTTATGTATTTGTGAGCTTGGTTAACTTCCTTGGGTTGGAGTTTTCCTTCCATAACTTTCTGTAGGGTGAGATTTGTAGATACATACTTTGAAAATCTGTCTTTGTCATTAAATATCTTGTTTTCCCCATCTATAGTGATTAAGAGTTTTGCTGGGTATAGTAGCCTGGGCTGGCATCCGTGGACTCTTAGTACTTGTAGATCTTCTGGCCTTGAGAGTTTCCATGGAGTAGTCAGGTGTAATTTTGATAGATCTGCCTTTATATTTGGGGCATAGATGTTCAGAATGTCCTTTTTCCTTCGCTGCTCTTAATATTCTTTCTTTATTCTGTATGTTAGGTGTTTTGATTATTATGTGTAGAGAGGTCTGTTTTCTTTGGTCCAGTCTATTTGGTGTTTGGTATGCTTCTTGTACTTTCATGGGCATGTCCTTCTTCAGATGATTTTGTTGAATATGTTTTCTGCACCTTTGAGCTGGGCTTCTTCGCCTTCCTCTATGCCTATTATTCTTAGGTTTGGCCTTTTCATGATGTCCCACATTTCCTGGATCATTTGCCCAGTCTTTCTATTTCCAGCATTCTTTCAGTTTGTGTTTTCTTTATTGTCTCTGTTTCAGTTTTCAAGTCTTGAACCATTTCCTTCACCTGTTTAATTGTTTTTTATTGGCTTTCTATACTTTCTTTAAGAAATTTGTTCATTTCTTCCAATTTTTTGTTTGTTTTTTCTTCCGTTTCTTTAAGGGATTTTCTCACATCATCTTTGAGGGTCTCTATCATTTTTATGATGATATTTTTTAAGTCATTCTCTTCTGCTTCATCTGCTTTGGGGTGTTCAGGTCTAGTTGGGGTAGAGTCCCTAGATTCTGGTGGTGTTATGCTTGTCTTTCTATTGTTAGGTGTTTTCTTGTATTGCCATCTTCCCATCACTTCTTCCAGTAAGTGTAGGTTGGGTCTCTCTCTCTCTCTCTCTCTCTCTCTCTCTCTCTCTCTCTCTCTCTCTCTCTCTCTGTGGTACTCCCCAGGTGGGCTTAGGTGGGTCAGAGGTTCGATGTCTGTAGCTCTGGGTGGTCCAAGCTCTCTAGGAGCTCTCTCCTCAGGCAGGGGCCCAGCAATGGGGATCAAAGATCAGACTCTGGCAAAAAACTGGTGATGGGGGTCAAAGATCCTGAAGGCTAGGACTCAGGATGTTCTGAGCACTGATAGGAGGATCTAGCCTGGGCCTAGCACTCTCCAGCTGAGGCCTCTTTAGCAGAGGCCCAGTGATGGGGGGTCCAGAAGTGGGATTTCTTAAGCTCGTCTTCCATTCATTCTGGGATTTTCACTGGCTGCATCATGTGCAAGACTCGTGCACACAGTCTCAGCCAGTGTGAGTCCATGTGTGCAATGGTGCTGTCGAGGCCATGAACATTGTCATGTTCACTGAAGACATGTGTTCACTCCCTGAACCAACAAAGGAAGGGAAGTGATGCAGATGTCCATCTGAGAACTGATCACCCTACAGTCTCTTTTTGTTTGTGTGTTGACCAATGGTGGGTATTGATGCCATAGACAACAAAAAGACATTTCTCTGTTGAAAGTGAAGAGACATTCTTCATGGTCCCTGGGAGTGAACCAATCACTATTATTTTGCTAAATCGACTTAGTGATATAGTGCCCTACGTTCTTGTTTTATTATCCCATTATTCTATTGGAAAAATGTCCTTTTTGTAAAGTGTCCTTACCAAAATGTATAATGCCTTCTGCTTAAATAAGTTCAATCTGTTTCTAAAAGAACATCCAATGAGCTTTTAAAAATTCAGTTTATATGAAGAGAAACTTGGCTAGGGTCAAAGGTCAGTACAAATCATTCTGCTATTTTTACTTTCCTGTTTCTTCTTTTGAACTATGAATATGACTCACTCAAGAAATTTAAAAAGTGTTTTGGATAGCATTAAAGAAGTTAAAGCTCTTATTGCTAATTAAATATTTTAAGATATAATCAAGTCATGAGATGTGAGCAAGTGGGTAGAAATGTGACATCTGTTTCTCTTTGTTGACATTGTCAACTTTTTTCCTTTTATTGAAAATATTTTTTCACATAATACATCCTGATTATAGTTTTCCCTCCCTCTACTCCACCAAGTTCCTTCCCATCTCCTCTCCCAGCTGGTTCCACCCCATTTCTCTCTCATTAAAAACACAAAGGTTTCTAAGGAATAGTAATAAAATAAAATGTAATAAGATAGAACAAAATTTAACACCTCAAAATAAGACAAAACAAACAGGAGAAAGAAAGCTCAAGAAAGGGCACAAGGAATAGATACAGGCACAGAGACCATTCATTGGGCATTCAGTAATCCAGTTAAAGCACTAAGCTAGAAGCCATACTATATAGGAAGGACTTGGAGCGTGCGTGTGCGTGTGTGTGTGCATGCATAACCAAAAAAAGAAAAAAGAAAAAAAGGAAGGAGAGAAAAGCCCTGCCTGATGCAACATAAGACAAGGAACCTCCAAAGATGCCACCAAGTTCATTTTTTGTTGGCCATCCACTGCTTAGCATGAAGTCTGTCAGTAGTCTGTTTCCCCAGTGCAACTCCCTTGGAGAAAACTAAATATTCATTTACAAGTGATTACCAATTGGAGATTGCTCCTCAGGAATGGGGCATGTGTCCACTTCTTTCAGCTCTGTTTTAACTATCCTGGTGTGTGTGTGTATGTTTGAGGACAATTCTTAGCCTCAAGATCTGTAAAGAATTGTGTTAGAATTTTGATGGGGATTCCACTGAATTTGTAGATTGCTTTTGGTAGGATGGCCATCTTTACTATGCTATGATCCATGAGCATGGGAGATCTTTCCATCTTCTAATATCTTCTTTAATTTCTTTCTTCAGAGATTTCAAGTTTTTATCATATAAGTCTTTAACTTGTTTGGTTAGTGTTACCCAAGATATCTTACATTATTTGAGGCTATTGTGAAATGTGTTGTTTCCTGATTTCCTTCTCAGTCCATCTGTATATAGGAGGACTACTATTTTTGTTTTTGGTTTTTTTTTTGTTGTTGTTGTTTGTTTTGTTTTGTTTTGTTAATTTTATATCTAACTACTTTGCTGAAAGAGTTTATCAGCTGTAGGATTTCCCAGATGGAATTTTTAGGGTCACTTATTTATACTGTCTTATTATCTGCAAATAAAAATTTTTTTATTTCTTCCTTTAAATTTATATCCCCTTAATCGCCTTCAGTTGTCTTATTGCTCTGGCTAAGATTTCAAGTACTATGTTGAATAGGTATGGAGAGAGTAGACAACTTTATTTTGTTCTTGATGCTAGTGGAATTGATTTGAGTTCCTCTCCAGTTAAATTTATGCTGGCAATAGGCTTGTTTGTTATAAATTGCCTTTATTACATTGAGGCATGTCTCTTGCATCCCTAATCTCTCCATGACTTTTATAATAAAGGGGTGTTGGATTTTTGTCAAAGGCCTTTTCTACACCTAATTAGATGATTATGGTTTTTTTCTGTTTGTTTGTTTGTTTGTTTGTTTGTTTTGTTTTGTTTTTTTACTTTCAGTTTGTTTATATGGTGGGCTGCATTCATCAATTTTCATATATTGAACCATTCCCAGAATCACCGGGATAAAGCTTACTTGATCATGAAGGGTGATCTTTTTGATGTATTCTTTAGTTCAGTTTGCAAGTATTTTATTGAGAATTTTTGGTAAGGGAAAATGGCCTATAATTTTCTTTCATTGCTGGGTGTTGGCTCTTTATGTGGTTTGGGTATCAGGCTAATAATAGTCTTGTAAAAAATTTGGGCAATGTTCCTTCTGTTTCTGTTTGACCAGTATTGGTGCTTTGTTGTTGGTGGTGGTGGTGGGGTTATTTTTTTTGTTTTGTTTTGTTTTGGTTGGTTGGTTGGTTGGTTTTTTGGGTTTTTGTTTTGTTTTGTTTTGTTTGTTTGTTTGTTTGTTTTTTTGAAAGGCTGGCAGAATTCTGCATTAAAGTCATTTGGCCCTGGCCCTTTTTTAAGGGGGGTGACTTTTAATGACTGCTTCTGTTTCACTAGGAGTAACAGGTCCATTCAAATTGCTTATCTGATCTCAATTTAACTTTGGTAAGTGAAATGTATCAAGAAAATAATCCATTTCTTTTAAATTTTTCTAATTTGTTTAAGTAAAAGTTCTTAAAGTATGTCCTTATGATTCTCTGTATTTCCTTGGTGTCTTTTGACACCTTTTCATCTCTAGTTTTATAGATTTGTATCTTCTTGCCTCTTTAGTTAATTTGGATAAGGGTTTGTTGATCTTACTGCTTTCTCAAAAAAAAAAAAAAAAAAAAAAAAAAAACTCTTTTTCCATTCTTTTTCCATTCTTTGTATTGTTCTTAGTTTGTTTGTTTCTACTTTATTGATTTCAGAATTGAGTCTGATTACGTTTTGTGATCTACTCCTTTAGGGTGTAATTTCTTTCCTTTATTCTAGAGTTTCAGGTATGTTGTTAAGTTACTAATATGATATCTCTTCCATTTTTTTTATGTAGGCTGTTAATGCTATGAATCTTCATTTTCCCCACTAAGTTTGAGTGTGTTGTATTTTCATTGAATTCTAGAAAGTATTTCATTTCTTTATTTCTGTCTTGGCCAATTTTTCATTCAGTAGGGAGTTATCGGTTTCCATGAGTTTGTAAGCTTTTTGTTGTTTCTATTGTTATCTACTTTCAATCCATGATGGTCAGATAAGATGCATGGTTTATTTCAGTGTTCTTGTATCTGTTGAGACTCATTTTATAACGAAGTATGTGGTCAGTTTTGGAGAATGTTCCATGAGGTTATGAGAAGAAGATACATTATCTTATGTTTGGGTGAACTTTTCTGTAAATATCTATTAGTTTCACCTGGTTTACAATGTCAGTTAGCTCTAACATTTCTTTTATGAATGTGGGTGCCTATAGTGGCATCTTGTGCAAATGCCCTTTTGTTAGGTGCATGGATGTTAAGAACTCCATTGTCCTCTTGTCGGATTTTCCTTTGATGAGTATGTAGTGTCTGTCCCTATCTCTTCTGATTAGTTTTGGTTTGAAGTCTATTTTATTAGACATTAAAATGGCTATACCAGCTTGGTTTTTAAAGTCCATTTGCTTAGAATATCTTTTTCCATTCTTTTACTATGAGGTGATGCCTATTCTTTATGTTAACACATATATTTTGGATTCTGTAAAAGAATGGATCCTGTTTTTGTATCCATTCCCTTACTTTGTGTCTTTTTACTGGAGAAATGAGACTGTTGATGTTGAGAGATATGAATGATCAGTCTTTGTTGATTCCTTACACTTTGTGGGGTGTGTGTGTGTGTGTGTGTGTGTGTGTGTGTGTGTGTGTGTGTGTGTGTGTGTGTGTCCTCTTGACTGTCTAGTCTCAGGTTATTTATTCTTTGTGTTTTTTTGGATGTGGTTAACCCTCTTAAGAATGGGGATGGGCTAGGACAGGGAACGGGGGCTCCACAGGAGGGAGGAAAGGAGGAAAGCAGGGTCTTCTTCGAGGATTTGCTTAGTCTACTGGGAATGGACCAGAATGAGGTAGTCTGCTACAGAGTTGGGAATGAGACCTGGAGGTTGGGACTAGAGGAGAGCAGAGAGAATGAAAATCTGCAGTTAGCCTACCTGTTTCACTTACCAACTTGTTTCTCTGGCAGGCTTAGCTATCCAGTTCCCAGGGAATGCTTGCTGGAGTTGGAGGCTGGGATAAAGCAATGAGTTGGGGAAAGGGAGGTTGGAGGGGAAGATCCCGATCCCTGTGATCCACTGGATGGGAGCAGTGAGGGTGGTCAGCTACAGATCTGGGGATAAGACTAGGGGAAGGGTTTGGAGAAGGAGAAAGAAGATAGAGCTCCATAGTTAGTCAGCCTGCTTCTCTGGCCAGAATCCAACTTTGTTTGTTCAGTGTTAAGTCATCCCAACCAATCAGATAAGAAGGAGGGTTTAGGTTAACCAATCAGTCTTCAAAACATCAAGATCATCCTGAAATCATGCAATTATATTAGCTAAGAATAGAGGCAGTATTAATGTGGCTTGGCAAGAATCACTGATGCTATAGGCTGGGTGAGATGGTTCCCCAAGCAAAGGCATCTGCTGCCAACTCTGACCATTTCAGTTGGATTCCTAGTATCCACACTGTGGAAAGAGAGAACTGACTCTTAAAACCTATCATCTAACCTCTACATGTGCCCCAACACATGTACACAGAAAAATAAAAAAAAAAAATTTAAACCCATCACAGGTATCACTATAAGTGGAAGTTAGGTAAAAATCTTTTTATACCTCAGGTTCCTTAGCTATGGATGCACATGAGACTAGCTAAGGGAACCAGTGCCCCACACTGGACTTTTTGGACTATGAGAACCTATGTCTGGCCTAGGGAGGTCACTGTATCCCATGTGAAAAGCACCTATGGGATTTCCTTCCCCAGCTCATTTACTGCCTTCTCCACTATATACCAGTGCTTAGCAAAAGCTAGAGATAATGAACTTCTGCATTATGGAATATGTATCTATGACAGTTCTTAAGTGCTCACTTGCTTCTACAGGTGGGGAGATTTGGAGAAACCCTCTTTACCACAATTGTTTGGTTCCCTACAGCATATTTTCATGTGGCCCATGGTATGTCCACACCTGGTTCTGTTCTAGGTGCTGGTTGTCTAGTTGTGTTGCTGCAAAGAGGACCATGAGCACTTATCTCTCTGTGCTTCTCAGTCAGTCCTCCAACTTTTGCCCTGTAAGATTATTTAGGGATGTCTCTCAACAGGTGATCAAAGAAGAAAATCTACAGAAAAACAGTCAAGAAGTTGGTACCTACATGTTACTCAAGTTTGCTGAGCTGCGGGATGAATTTGACATCATTGGGGATGTCCGAGGCAAAGGCCTTATGATGGGGATAGAGATGGTTCAAGACAAGGTAATGATCTGCAGCTGTAGCAGGTAGTGTAGAGGCTAATAGGGTCTAATGAACACATATTACTCAAACTGTGAAGCTGTTGGTTACTATATGTAATACACTACTAAAGCCCATGGGAAAGGTGAGTAGGAAGCCCTGAGGGAACGCCTTTCTACCTCAGAGGCTGACCCATGAGCAGGAGCATTCATGGCTTGAACATCTAAATCTCTGAAACCACACAGAGTGATGATGATCCCTATGACTGATCTGTGAAGGAAATTGGGGATACCAGGGTCAGCAAAGTCACCCGGGACTTATTAAGTAGGACTGGAAGGGGTTCCAAGACAGCTATATATGGGTCATTTTAAAGATGATCCACTCTAAGCCTTTCCAGATATACCAATTTGTCCCACCATAAGGAGCATCTTTTTGTAGTGTGAAAGGCCTCTGGGTAATGCATGTACACTTAAGCTTGAAATGGAAACTAGAGGAACACATTTGTGCTCGTAGACTGAGAATGCAGGGACACACAGAAATGATTCAAACTCCAGCCCAATGTCACCAAAGTTAAAGTAGCATGTCTGAGCCCCTAGTAAGAGACCAGCCACAGTGCCTACAGATCTGACACGGCCTCCTGGCTCCCACGAACTTACTTTTCCTAATCCTAACAGTTGGAATTTTGAGGGAAGAGCAGTTCCACAAACACGGAAAATACTTAGCTTCACCACAGCTCCGTGGCCATGCTGTGGCCTGGGAAACATTTAGTTGCATTTGCCTTTGAGCAACTTCTAAACCACTTCCTGGACTTCGGAATGAACTCTTTAGCTAGGCAGAGCACCATAAAGAGTTGAAAATGATTTCAACACAAACCAAACAGATCCCAAATCAGCTATTAGAAACCCAACCCCCCAGGGTAGCCTTAAACGGAGCCAGGATTCATTTACTGCCTGCATGGAATTTCACTTTGTCTTTAGGAATTTTTTTTTGGATGAAGTAGAATAAAATCCAATACTTTTAATACCTCCCACCCTATAACATCCCCCCCCCCAAAAAAACCCTCTGCTTCAGTAATTAACAGCTTTATTTAATTAAGAGACATCAATTGCTTGAGTTTTGTTTTGTTGTGGTTTCTCCTGGGTCCCATGCCTGGGGAAATAATTCTTCTAACCATTCAAATACCAAATAGAAAACTTTATTTATTTATTTTTTAATATATTCACAGATGAGTCGCCAGCCTCTTCCTAAAACAGAAGTAAATCAAATCCATGAGGACTGCAAAGACATGGGCCTCCTAGTGGGCAGAGGTGGTATTTTTTCTCAGGTAAGACAAGAAAAGGTGGGTCTTCCTGGTGTGTTACTATGACAGGGGAGCCAGCTGTACATCTTCCGTGTTATGATAATGCTCAGGTATAGTCAAAAGAAATCGACAAGAGACAGCTTCTGCCACTAGAGGGTGATGTGGTAAAGTGATTCAGTTATCCATTTTTTTGTGGGCAAAAGAAAGGCATTAGAAAAGCCACAGAAACCAGATAATTCACAGCATGGGTGATTATAGAATCATTAACATTCATGCAAGTTATACATACATATGCATTGTATCATGTATCAATTAGTTCTTTCTCTGTGGCTTTGGAGCCTGTCCTGGATTTCGCTCTGTAGACCAGGCTGGTCTCAAACTCACAGAGAACTGCCTGCCTCTGCCTCCTAATAGTGGGCCTATGGGCCAAGCATTCAAATGCATGAGTCTATGGTGAGGTTAGGACAGAAAGTTAGGGAAGAACTCCCCTCAGTACACGAAGGGAAGTAGAGACAGGAAGGGGTCAATGTGTGCCAAGAGTTTAGAGAAGTGTGGGATTATGGAAGCAGAAAACAAGATTGATCAGGAAAAGGGATGGCCAAATGTGATATACAGGTAATCAGGAAGGACATGGCCTGGGAAATGCCCAGTGGGTCTCATGCCTTGCAGGTAACCTTAGTGTAGTAGTATCAGAAAGCTAATAAGGCAGAAACCACACTGCAGTGGTCTAGGAAAGATGAAGAGTATCAGCAAACCTTTTAAATAAGATTGAGTAAAAGTAGCTGGACATGGCAGCCCAAGCCTCTAATTCCAGCACTCAGGAGGCAAAGACAGGGAGATTTCTGTGAGTTCAAGGCCAGCCTGATCTACAAAGCAAGTTCCAGGATAGCTGGGGCTGTTACAAAGAGAATCCCTGTCTTGAAAGAAAAACAAAATATTGAGTAAAAGCAGGAAGAAAGTATGGTATTACACCTGTGCATTAACTCAGATACAGAATAGAGGAGATGATAGTGGGAATTGAGAAAACTGATGTTTTGTGATGGCAAAAACTGAGCAAGTAGGAGGTGGCAAAGTTAGATTTCAGGGAAGGCGATAGAAGGATGAGCAGGTAAACAGGTGAAAAAAAAAAATCCAAAGCAAGATGATATAAGGATTTGTGTAAAGACTTGAAGGTGAAAGAGACTGGAAGGGGAAGGAGGAAGTCAACCTAGTCAGAGGAATGTCATAAATATGATTTTTAAAATGAATGAATGAATACAGTTTTGGATTCTTGGTTTAGCCCATTTCTGGGAGTCCCATTTAATTCTCTGATGATTTGAGCTCCATTTTCCTCTCCTCCTCAGACGTTCCGCATCGCACCCCCGATGTGCATCACTAAGCTTGAAGTGGACTTTGCATTTGAAGTATTTCGCACAGCCTTACTTCAACACATGGAGAGAAGAGCTAAGTAAGATTTCTACAAGTGAAGAACCACGAGCCCCAAGAACTTCTCAACTATGTGCAGAGATGAATTTGAAGAATGTTGAGTTGAAACCACATATAGTAAGATGAAAACCTGCAGCTCTCCATAGTAATTGTAAAAGATCAGTAGGCACTGGCCATATTTTCAATGAAGCCCTATTCTCCTGAGAATTCCATCCTTCAGGAACAGTGTCTATCCCTGGCTCACAGAATAAGTCCTAATTTGTGTAGCTTAGTCTGTGTTGTTTCCCATTGCATTAACTGGTTTGTAAATGAATACAAGGCATATGTGTCACCGATGAATCCTGAAGGAAAACCTTTCTGTGCTAACACTTCTGAGGAAGCATTCCTTCATGCTTCTTTTCACACTGGAAATACTGCATCTCATAATGGCATTTCTCAATTCGCATCGGGCATCTGGAAGCCATGAAGATAAAGTGTGGTCACAATGCTACATCTGGAAAACGGTTGGAAGCTGAGTGCTTGGTAATATCGATGAGTCACGAATCTTGGAGCCATCTTATCTCAGGGTTTTTTGACTTATAAAATAATAAATTCATTGTACTGCTTACGACTTTAAATATTGTCCATTATTGCGGTTCAAGAGCATCTTGGAAAATAATACAGAAAATACCTTAGGGCGATAGTTGCACTGCAAACCTTTAACTCCCTGAAAAATATTTATCAGAGCTTATTATTCTCTGTTATGCCTGTCATCTTCTTATCTTCATCTAGATCTTTATTTCTACTATTGCAAATTCATACATAAAACTCTAGTCATTAGTATGTGCAATCATAAATCTATAGGTGTTAACTGAGCTGTGTCTTACAACTGGAAAATTTTTAAAATTTAACATACTCACTGAGTACTTAGCAGTAAACTTCATATAGTTACCATAAATGAGAACATACACTACAAAGTAACCATGAAAACAAAGCAAACAAGGCTCGAGTATCCAGTCTATAAGGTGCTTGCCACACAAATACAAGGACTTCTATTACGTTACCCACATATGGGAGTGGACATTTATGTTCCAGTCCTGGATAGGAAGATAAGAGAACCCAAGGGACTCACTCTCCAGGCAACCTAGCCAAATTAGCAAATCCCAGAACAGTAAGAGTAAGAGGCCCTGTCTCAGAGAAACAAGGTGGAGAATCCTGAAGAATGAGACCCCAGGTTGACCTGTGGCCTCATCACACACACACACACACACACACACACACACACACACACATACACCCATACACACTAAGTTAATAATTTTAAAATCCTATTCCCAAGAGATACAATTAACAAATATTTTCAGCCTATGAAATCTTTTTTTTAAAAAATGTTAGAATATATAAAGTCTATTTAAAAAAATAATATAGGCAAACTGACTAGAGACTTTGCCTAGACAAAAGCTGAAGGGCATCTAAAGAACTAACTTAATCAGCATGTGACTGGATGTATATTTAAAAGCATGTCCCAGTTTGAAACCTTGTGCTGATTGTCTTATCTTTCTGTGATGTCGTTTCTAACACATCCTACATCTTGCTACCAGATTTGTTTTCATCCGGCATTGACTTAAACATAGCAATCTCTAGTGCAAAGCTTCCTACCTTCTCTGTAGTGTCCCTCCCTCAGACAAAGTGAAAATCTCTTAGCATGGAATGCTATGTCCTAGAGAATCCAAGAAGAGCCAAAAATGTTCAGTTTGGCACCATTGAAAGATCGTCGGTTAAGAGAGCAAAGAACTTGCATTCTCTAGTTGGTCTGCTATAAATGAACTTAAAGGTGCTATAAATGACTTTGAACAAGTCTTTTAACCTTTCTTAGCCCAGTTTCTTCCTAAGTATATTAACTTACCATTGTTATCTTCAGAAGTTATCTTGGGACTGAAGTGAATCAGTGGATATAAAACTGAAAACTGATGAACCATGCAAAAGAGAAATTCCTTCCCTTCAAACTATATTCCCTTCACTGCTGATATTTTCCCAGGAAGAGTTTCTCTGTCTATCCTAAGTAACTTCTTCTTGTATAATACCTTTATTGAATTCTGAACTGTGGTTCTTCTACTTCAGAGGGCTCCTTCTCTATTTCTTTTCTAGAAAGACCTCCACTTGATGTCCTGCATCATGATCTCTTCTACCATGCTGTGTTCTCTCCCTATAAGCAACATATCCATGTCTGAAACGTTGATGTATTTTAACTACGTCAATGACTTTTAGAACCCAAGATGTTCTCTGACCTCCAACTCTAAGATTATAGTTTCTGGATTCTCCTGCTTTGGAAAACACAAGAGCAGTTGAAGTTCTAAGTCTCTCTCTTCTGTTGAATCTTGTTTATTGATAGTCTCCTTTTGAACTCAGGTTCATAATTCAGGTCTTTGTTTGATTAAATGTCATCAATACTTTCTCCAGTATAACTTTTCCACCATGACCCATTTGTATCAAAAGTGACTTAATTTGGGCAATCATATTTGCTGAACATCTTAATCTACCTCTTATCTGGTACACCTGGTTAGAATAGACTAGTGGTCCTTGGTTTTCCTCTCAGAGCTGCCATTCGTTTTTCAGTGCTATAGGGAGTCATTGGTGGTATCAGAGATGAATTTCTGGGAAGCTAGAGTAATGAGTTGAAGCTTCAGAGCCCTTCCTTACCTATTCTCCATACCAGTAACAAAGGCACATCCTCAACGCATGGGTAGCTTGTATCTCTCATCCCTTAAAGCTTTTGAGAGCTCTCTGTTATTCATGGAATAAAATTCAAACTCTTTTTTTTTTCCTGTCTTTCTTTCAAGACAGGGTTTGTCTGTATATCTCTGGCTGTCCTGAAACTCACTGTGTACATCAGGATGACCTCAAACTCAGAGATCCACCTGCCTCTGCCTCCTGAGTACTGAGATTGAAGGCATGAGCCATCACCGCCCAGCAAAACTCCTACTACATAGGTTTCCACACACTTGCATGATGCCAAAATTATTGCTTTATTTCCACCATTCTTACTGTATCATGAACCATAACTTGGCATCTGTGTTTAATGAAGAGTTCTTTTTTCTTTTTTGGTGGAAAATATAGGGTCAGAGAGTTCAGACAAGAAAGTAATGCTTCCTGCTGATTCTTCAAAATCTTCCTGTTCCCAAAACTACTTTTCCAAATGAAAAGAGGATGCCATTGAAAATAAAATAAATAAAAAAATAAAATGGTAGTCATTTAAATATAAGTATGATATGAAGATGAAACTCAATTTAAGACCAAGAAAAATAACAAGCCTGTTTCCACCTCTGATTGGGGTCTGTACAGGTTGCAGAATAATATACAATATACATGACTTTTGTCCCTTCCATTTTCTGGGAAGGAGAGCTGGGGGATATAGTCATTCAAATAAAGTCGCAGAGTTTATTCCTTGTAGCTTTCTGAACCCTACAGAATCAGTATGTGATTTCCTACCTCCACTTACAAGGGGTCACTTATGTTAGCCTTCATTTTGTTGTTGTTTTGCTTTGCTTTTTGTTGTTTTGTTTTGCTTTGCTAGAACAGAACCCTTGACACTAGCTTATAAAGAAAAGAGGTCTATTTGAGTTCTTAGTACTAGAGATTGGAAAACTCAAGGTTGGGAAGCATATATGATAAAAATATCTTCAAACCACAGTTGAAAGGAAAGAGGTGCTTGATGTATATAAAAGAGAAACAGATGAGGTGAACTGGCTTTATTACAAATGGCTGTGGCAGTAATTCATCCATTCTGGCAAGAAAACACTCTCACAAGACAAAAGCAGTTATCTAGTCATGTGGGTTTAGCCCTCGTGACCCAACATCTGCCACTGGGCCTCCTAATACTGCCCCACTGGTGATAAAACATTCAGATCCTAACACAAAGTCAGCAATGCAATTCCAAGAGGCAGCCAAGTGCTGGGCCCCATCTCTGGGCTTTGCAGGGTACATGACTCTTACCCAGCTCCTTGATGACCTGGAGAAACTAACTCTTTCTTAACTCTCTCTTAAAAAGAGATGAAGATGAGCATACATCACAGGCCTGGAGCAGAAAAGGCATGACTTGGTGCCTACGAGTGCGGATGGCCACTCATTCCTCTTCCTGGTTTGTAAACATGAAGGCATCCTTTTTTGTTCCATTTGGAGTCGTGGGCAGGAGTTTAACACCACCATTTTTCTCCCTTCCATTTTCTGCTCTACCCACAGGAGGTGGGATATAAGCCAGGTTGCATAAGACAAGAAGCTTACACTCTTGCCAACTTTTTTTCCCCCTTTCCTGCTAAAACAGCCTTAAGTGAAGATAATGAATACTTAGCTCAAGTAAACTTCTTTCCACTGGTGGAACATATTGATAGTTAAGCATGTGATTTGAATACAGTGGTAAAATGTTAGCAACTGTTTTAAATATTTGGAATACCCATCCACTCAAAAAGGAGTAAGGCTTTAAAATCACACCAAGCTTGGGTTATAACATTAATGATGGAAATTATTGTTAAGCAACACCCACAAATAAGTGACAAAATAATAAATTACTCCTTTTTGGGTTGTAAAATTTCCATTCATATATTAGTGTAGCATTTAACGTCCCAGTATATTTGTCTCTCAATATTCTTAGGAGATTGTCTCCAGGGCCCCCTGAAGATACCAAATATGAGGATATTTGTCTGACACCATCTAGAGAATGAGGGACTTTATTAAGTATATAGCAAGCAAAAATGAGGAAAAAATAATAAGCAGGGGATAAACAAAGGTAGCAGATAGCAAAACAGATGCTTATGGCATCCTGACTAATAAAATGTCCATTTCAGATACAAATTTTGTCAGATGCATTTAATCTACAGTTGACTAAATCCTTGAATAAGGAACTGGAAAGTCAACTGTAATTCACATTAACCTTAGTTAGGATAGGAGTTTAGGAGGGTTAGATTCCTTAGGCATTATGAAGTCACACTCAGATCTCACCTTTTCTGCAAAGAACAACAAAAGATGACAGAAAGCATTTGCTTCTTTGTGATCAAAGTATTACCAGAAAAGCATCACAAGGGTCATTTGCCAGAAGCAATGACTGCTGGGTCATAAAAGTTTATTCTTGGATACTGTCTTAGTCAGTGTTTTATTGCTATAGAGAGATGCTATCACCTTGGCAACACTTATAAAAGAAAGCACTCAACTAGGGCTGGCTTACAGATCAGATTCATTATCGTCATGAACAGAAGTACGGTGCAGGCAGAGTTAGTACAGAGAGGAAGCTGAGAATTCTACATCTGGACCCAAAGGCAGCAGGGAAAAAGATGAACCACTGGGCCTGGCTTGAGCTTCTGAAATCCCAAAGCCCCCTCCCACTGACACATTCCCTCCAACAAGGCCACACCTCCTAATAGTGTACTCTCTGTGGGCTTATAGGGACCATTTCTTTCTTTCTTTCTTTCTTTCTTTCTTTCTTCCTTTCTTCCTTCCTTTCTTTCTTCCTTTCTTCTTCTTATTTTTTCTTATTTTACATATTGATCCCAGTTCCCTCTCCCTCCCACCCTCCCATCCCACCCAGGCTCTCCCCCAATCACTCCCTAGGGAGGGTGAGACCTTCCAGGAGGGATCATCAAAATCT